GAATGACAGGAGAGGGCTGCCTTGATGGTTGCCTTGAAACCTGCAAGGAATAAAGCAAGACTGAAACTACATTCCCACAGATGCTGAATAAACACTTCCATTGTTATCTGTCCATTTTAAATAAATGACATGAAGAAATTTCTACGAGAGAAACAGTTCTATAATTTACTTAAGATTTTGTCCATCAGAATTTTACGTGATGGACTTCTTACATCATCCAGGTCAAGGGAAAATATTTACATGACAAGGAACATCATTGCTAAATAGAAACAGTCCTACACTCCTCTGAATTACTTAACTTTCTTTTTATTTGAGTTTGGACCTCAGCAAGAGCAGGTCACAGTGCTTCACAGCAGATATAAATATCCACTATAGAGTGCAGTTTGCTCTTATTTATCTTGGGTTTACTATTTTAAATGCAAATTTGATCAGCAAGATAAGCTTCCAGTGTTGTGTATCTAATTTTTCAATCAGCTTTTCTCTGTGTGTGCACTAAGTATACCATAGCCTGATAAACTAAGAGGGGGACAATATTGAAGGTACAGGTCTGAGAAGTCATTCAATGTCTTTAAAATTCAGTTATTTGCAGAAGTTAGGAAGATGTATTTGCGTCTTAGAAAGTCACTGAAGCATACCATTCTCTTCTCCTCTTCCATCTTTTCTTTATCAACATTTTGTCTAAGTTGCTCATCTTGCTTTTCTGTATCTTTTCTTCTTTTGTCTGCCTCTTTTCTCCTCTCTACCTCTAATCGAATTTTTTCTTCCCTTTGCAATCTTTGCTGTAACATAAACATTATTAGTACATAAAAAAGACTCAACATTATTAAAGTTTGGCTTTGTTTTTCTTTGAGAAGTTAAAGTTACTCATCAAAGTCACAAGTATGAAATTAAATGTGTATTTTGTTAGGCTGACTTCAAACATTCAAATTAAAAACTATGCCATGCAAATATTAAACATCTGCAGCCCTGGCTCTGCTAACATCACTTAACAGAATTGCTAATAACGTCAGTAAACACCAGTTTCTGTTCCCAGATCTGATGCTAGTTTAGGCTAAACTGTAGGAGTCACTTCCAAAAATTCAGATTGCAGCAAAACATCCTGCAAACAAGCACCACCCTACCACAAGTCCACAGGGAAAATTATCATCCAGTCTCAATTTTAGTCTTGTACCTGTGAAAAGTGACAATCACATTTAGCTTCCTACTCTGTACTAGACCAGCTCTGTTACTCACTCAGAACACAAGATTCATCCAACTTGCTTGTTCACACTAGAAAAGAGAATCTAGAATATAAACTAATTGTTCTGTCTTAAAAATCTTTAAATCCTACATCCTGCACCGATCTTTCACAATCCTGCAGAGTGCTGAAAGATTTTTCCATCTCTGGTGGCCTTGTGTCCTTTCCCTGAAGTTATTTATGAGATTCTGAATTATGCAAATTCATTCAATTTTCCAAACTTGGCAAGTAAAGCTTTTGGTTTTGAAATAAATCAGAAGTTCATCCCCATGAAAAATACTCATTAGATTTGCTTGACATTCCTTCAAAACAAGTTATATTCTTATCTCAAAGATACATCCTGGTCAATTAAAAGAAAGGCTTTACGAAATCTTCCTGTATAGCTACATTCAGAACACAAATAATTCCATGAGACCCTGATTTAACAGGCTAAAAAAAAAGTTTTGCTTTGTTTTTAAATTCAAGTAATTTCGCAAAGCTTTTTACTGGCCTCACAAACAAGTTCTCTTGAAAAGGAGAGCATCACTGCCAACAACAAAACAATACCATGTTTCTTAAGAGAACTAACAGTACTTAAGGTGGTAGCATGTGTTAATTAATACCATTTTCTACCCCTCCTCTGGCTGGTGCAGACCTTTTTAAAAACAAAGCTGAATTCACAGCACACTTCTCAGTTTACCTTCTTAATCTACAGGACAAATATTAACCAAGGGCTAGTTTAGGATGGAAAAAAGCCAAGGTATCAAAATACTACACCTCCTCTTTCTTTCTTTTCTGTTCTAATTCATCTTCATATTCTTTTTGAATTTTCATCCTCCCCTCAGCTGCACGTTGTGCATCTTTTTCTTCTTCTATTCTACGGTTTTCTCGCTCTGCTTGTTGCCTGCGTCTCTTTTCCTCCATCTAGAGAAGAAGGCAAAGGATTCAATTGTCAATAATCAACAATAATCTGATGAACAACCTTTATCATCATGATCTTCTAGGGACTTCTGCAGTACCTACTTGCACAAGGACTGTATGGAGGAGCTATTGAAAGAATTCAGTCTCACATTTCAGCTTCAGAATTCCTTTAAAATAAGTTGATACTTTACTGGGTTTTTTTAGCCACTAGTTACTGAACCACCCTCCAGTAAGAACACTAATTAAAAATGCTGCTGATAAAACCTGACAGTTTCCTAACACACTCTACTCTGAGCGTGGTGAAATAACACTTTTCTCTATATAAACTTAATTTGTAATTAAATAATGCAAGATTGCAAACCAAAAGACACATAGCAATTATCTTTTTTCTTTCCACAATTATAAATTTCTTAGACACAGCTCTGACTTGCTAAAGTCAAGGGTCTGCCCATTCTTTATTCTTTTTGGCAGGACTATACATGGAAAAAAGTCTGATCTTTTTATTACATTCCTACTCTCTTAAATTATCTAGGGTTTACTTGATACTGACCTTTAATTCAATTCATACTTAATTCTTGTAGCATAAGATTATATGTGAAGTATTATGGACAGAAGACAGAAACTGGGAGAACAATCATGTTTTATATACCCATCAATAAATAACTACACTGTTACTGTCTCACTGATCCCCATTTCATTCTGATGAACATGCATTTGTATCATATAAGCTTCCAAAGGCAAACATCTTTGTTTCTTACATATTTATGTATGCAAACTTATACTGTATGCACAGTCTGAAAACTCTGTATTTAGAGAGCTGTATTTAGGAGAAAAAAAAAAAAAAAATCTAGATTAATGAAGCCAGCTATTAATAGCATCACTTTTATAAGCATTTCTTATGTAAGGCAAAACCTGAGAGACTCAATAGCATATAGCTCTTAGTAGACCTCTTGTGTACAAAATTGACTATGATTGGACAAGGTTTTTATTCAGCAGTATCCAATAATTTATTTTTACTGTTAATCACCCTTTAAAAAATGAATTTAAGTAGATTTTAACTGGTGTGCACATTCACCTGCAGACAAAGAAAGTTCCTGTAGGACTCCTGTCGCTTCACATGCTCTGGAGATGGTGGTTCACGGAACACATTACCTCGGGCAAAAGGAGAGGACTGTGCCAAAGTAAAACCTGAGGGGGAAGCTAAAGGCAAATATCAAAGAAAATTTCAGACAGCAATCCAGAGTAAAGAAGCAGAAATCTCAGACATTTATTTAAATGGTGGTTTATGACACCCACAATTCAAGGCTATAGCTGAAAACCGTAGCTGGGATCTAAAGTTCTTACACTGTCTGCCAAGAATACTGTCAGGTTTTAACTGTCCAATTTCTAACGTCCAAGAGAGATGTCTTTTTATGGAACAGCACCTATAAAAGTAATAGACTCAACTGTCCAATCTACAGTTTAGTATCTAAAAATGTTATCTGTAAGTTAATTAGAACAGCAAAGATTTTACAATTGCAATTAAAATTGCACTTACTCTGACTTAACACATGTAATGCTGTTATTTAGGTCTCTTAATTCTTTAAAACCAGAACACCCTAACAAAACAAGTATTTATGTAAAATAGCAACAGGTGCTATAAAAAACAAAGCCCAAAGCTGGCAGGTAAAATTCAAAGCAGTCAGAAATTTGAATTCTGCCAGTATAAGGTGCCTTCCATACTATGAAGTTTGAAGTGTCAGGTCTCTTTTAGCCCTGAGTTATGAACATGTCATAACCACACAGTCCTAAAAGCTCTAGATAGGAGGATTAACTCAGATACCAGACAGAGCAGGTTTTGCAGAACAGGATTCCTGCAAGAAGCAGAGGAGAAAGGAATTAAGTAAAGGAAGAGTAGAGTAAGTTGTGTTAACTTTTCAGTTGACATAGCGTGTTCTTCATTGACATGTCTGCTCCAAAGGACAGTGCCTCAAGAATATGCAAGAGCTCTGCTGAGCTGAGATGCATACAGCCATAGCTGTTCTCATGTTCCTCCCTTATATTTCCCTATATGACCATGTACCACCTTAGTTGGATGAAGGCAGAAATACAAATACACATATTCCCATAGGAATGCACATGCTTATTGCTACAGCCTAGAAGTATGTGCTTGCATAACCAAGTAGTACACTTCAAGGTTAGTACAATTTTTTCCTTATGTGGAATCACTGTTTGAATCCTTCCAATATACAACTAAATTTACATGTGGCTCTTTCAGTATAGATTTACTTCATATGGATATATTCCAGGCAAACAATCAGAATAAAGTTTATTTGCCATTTAAGCAGCATGAACATAAGACAGTCAAGTTACTACAGAAGGTATCAAGAAATGTACTACTACTGTCCTAAACGTTCCTCTTTTAATGGGGTGGTGTACAAAAAAAAACCCACAAAAACAAACAAAACCACCAAAACAATACCTACACAAACCCACTTTACCACCTGACTCATCAAATGGAAGGTGCAAGACTATAAAGTTCCCATCCCTTTTCTGCAGCACCACCTGATCCCAAAGTAAGTGATCTATCCAAGAGGCTCTTTGTTATTCTGCATAATCACTTTATTGGCCTTGCCTGTATCACTTTCACTAAATGTTTAATTACACACTGTATTAGGGTGAAACTGCAAGAAAGGAAACAAGGAACAAAAAAATTTCTTCTACAGACAGTGGTCAAGATACTTGTAATCTTGGGAAGTAGATCCAGGCCCCAAATACCATGTAATTCTTTACACAGAAGCGCAACAGCTCAGACAAAGGTGTGCAACAACTAAGCTGACTTGAAGAGAACACCACCAGTCCTGGCCTTTGCCCACTGCAGACTGGCAACACACCTGGAGTTGCACAGCTCTGTTATTTAGGTATCTCACAAAACGTAAGAAGAGAAAGATGCATTAGTTTTTTACTAGGAAAATAAAATCCTTAGAAATTGGAGGCAGGGCACAGGGCTGCATATGTACACCATTTACCTGTAACATTTTAGAACTTGTTAACCTATTTCCTGTACCAATTTCATCTTAACCTGCTACAACATATATCTGCAGACCCTTCTTCCTTTTATTCCATCTTCTCTCCTACTTTACAGTTTTATTTTACTGGGCCATTTAAAAGTAAAACAAACATGTATTAAGATTTTGTTAGATAATATTGAATCTGGAAAACTAATACACTGATCCTGACTCTTCAGTGCTTAAACAGTTATTGTTACTGACACGACAGATAAGAAACTACACTTGCAGCATACATAGGGACAACGGAGAAGAAGTTTGGGAAAGAAGCATGATGCTGACTTTGCAGGTAGAAAGCACTGACACAACCACAGAACTACTAGAGAGGAGTAGAGAATTTTGATCACTAAGACCCACAAATAATTAGAGCTGTAAGACAGTATTCTTAGAAACCTGCTATTTTATTTGTAGATGCTTCTGTGTTCTCAGGTCTTGGGGAGGCCCGATTAAGGTCAACAGATTCAACAGCCCTTTTATCTTCATCTAGTCTTGCCTGGGGATTATGGCATGCATCTCCAGTTTTCTTGCGCATCATACTCAAGTCAGCTAAAGGAAAGGGGAAATAACTGTTTATATTTTATTCTCGTAACAGGCACGTTCACCGTAGGTTCTCAAAAATACTGTGATTTTTCAGCAGACTCCACTTTTCTTGGGTGTAACAACTATGGGAACAAAAAGTATAAGCAAAACAAAGAACACAGATGCTGTAGGTGAAATACGTCATTAGGAATTCACTGATTTAAAAACTTATTTTGTTGGTTTTCTTCTGCCAGGAATGATTCTTCACAGCAAACCTCCTTTCTCCCCCACCCTAAAATGCTACAAAATGGAAAGATAAACAGCTCAAAGACAACAATGACGGGCAAGTCTGTGTTGACAAGCATGTATGCAGAAACCATCCTCTATTCTATTTCCTTAAAGCTGTAAAATACTTTTTAGTATTGGTATTTTAAGTACTAAAGCTCTATTTAATTACTTTTAAGGGCAATAAGCACAACTGAACCATTAAAGGGTTTTCTAGTCTTCGTGTCCTTATCAATAATCCAGGTGCAGATTGCTGTATGTGAGCAAAATGTCATCCAACTTTTTCAGCAGAGTTGATGCCTCACAGTTACCATAAAAATCCTAAGCAATGTTAATTTCAGTTTATTTTGAAGGGTTACCTAGAAGGCTCATTTCAAAACCAAGAAGTATGACAGTTTTCATACTACCTTTTTAAACAGTGTTTCTGATCATTATTAATTACTGTAGTTGCTTAAGCACTCAGATTCCAACAACTTTAAATTACATCCCTCTCTGTAAAGCAGCCTTTCATACATCACAGTCTCAAAGGTTATTTACAGACATTTTCAAAAGGATAAAAAGACAAACAAGTCACACTGCACAAAAGAGAGACATGGCAGAAAGCTTCTTGTTAATGTTTTTTGACATGGGACTCATAGCTTATCCACTAGGCTGCTAAACCATGGTGGGAAAAATAACTTTACATGTGTAATTCGGGAAAACAGGCTAAGAAATTTACTTCTCTTGGTTCCTCATTTGTGGATGGAGATAAGCTTCTCAGCAGGTAAATGCAGATCTCAGGCTAATACAACTGCACCTTACTTTGAGCCACTCTACTCACAGCCTAGAGAAAAGAGTCAGATGCAGCACAAACACCTCTGCCTGCTCTGGAGATAAATACAAGCTTGAATCCTTAACACAATCTTCTAAATGTTTTATTTGGGCACATAATCTTTAAAACACATTTAAACTTTACCCTCTGCCTTCAAACTACATGATGAATATAGCCATATGTCACTCTAGTGTCATAAAACTGAAACTAAATATTTATATATAAATTGTTATCCCGTAAGTGTTCCATGCTTTGAAAATTCTCTCTCTTTTTTTTTTAATCAGAAGACATATTTTAAAAATCTAATCCATATTGAACATCATATTCCAATAACAAGATAATAAATTTGTTTCATTTTAGAAATCAATAGTTATAAAATGGTTAAGACTCACTCAGATGGTAAAAGCAAGAATGAAGAGAGCTAGCACAGGCCAAGATTTTGAAACAGACCAATCTAACTGTGCATACTATTTTTATTTTAGTTTAACTACTCCTGTAAGGTTCACTAGGAACCAGGACCAGGAATTTGAATTTTAATCTCGTATCTATCTCTGATTTACTAAAGTGAGTGGATGAAAAACCTGCCTGGATCATAGCTCTCTCCCAGTTCACTACTCAGATCTTGAATAAAACAGCAGTTGGAAAAAAAAAAACAAATCTTAAAAAACAGAACTGCTGACTGCTACTTATGTAGCCATTTACCGGCAGTGTTACTTGGGGAAATCTAAATAATCCACTTCACTTTATATTCAAACATGCTTTCAATTTTCCATGTCACAACTGGAGCTTTCTAAGACTAGAAGTTATTTTAAAATAGAACAACAATTTAAAAACCCTGTTCCTGGAAAATGTTTAAATAAAGGTCTTCACAACAGACTTAAGCCCATTTGTATTGCAGTTTATTCTAGCAGCTTGTATTCCTCCTTCTTTATTATTGCATTGTGTTTTCACTCACAGTTGACATACCCTGTGCTTCCCATTTTGTTCAAATTGTACTCTGAGTGATTCTACAGAAATCAAAATAATTACTCACTTAAATATTCCCAGAGTGCATCTGCTAAAAACAAGTACATCTATTTGTAAATAAAGGGCTACCAGTGCTCCAAAACAAGGAATAATACATCTGAATAGAGCCCTTACAAGAGCAAGAAAACATCAATCTTGAAAAGACAAGCCATAATTTTGGCAAACATACCTATCAGATTTCCTTCTGCATCCCTGAGAGGAGCACCACCACCACCTCTTCCCCAGGGGTTGTATTTCCTCATTTCTGCTTGTAACTGGGCTTCGTAACGTTTCTTATCCTCTTTCTCTTGCCTGTGACGTTGCTCTCTGTCTTTTATCTAAAAACAAACCAACCAAAGTCAGCTGTATAAAGTTACCACATCAAATATAGTTTTAATCAAAAGCTACCAGAGCAAGCTGAATGGTATAATTACCCAATCCCCCTATGTGTAGCAAGCAAATCCCAAAAATTCTACTGCCTATACTGCAGACAGTGCATTGAATACTGTTGTCAATACACGAACATCCAGTTACACATAATCACAGAGACACACACACAACATACGACTTGCAAGTTTCGGAAATGTTCACAACTGGAACTCGCAGTAGATCACAAGTCCTGTATCTTTGGATTTTTGATACAGAAGTGTATACTGCCTGAAAATTAAACATGCAAATTTCTACAATACTACAGCACTTGCTTCTCTCCACTTCTTTTGTCTGAACAAAATTTAGACCAGAGGTAACATGAGATGAAGAATGACACCTAACAATAAATGCCTTAATAGAATGTTACACTATTTTATAATCATTCATTAGCCTTCTGCAGTAATACCGATTTGTATGCAAATAATGCAGAACTGTTCATGTGGTTGGTTCTGCCTTTTCTTCAGAAGCAGATTAAATTTATTTCACTAAGTCTCCAAATAATAAGAGCATTTCTGAAGAGAACAGCTGTTACAAAAGGTCCTTCTTCTATTTAAAGCTTTTAAAACATTACTTACTATTTATGCAACTGAAATATATTAATATATTTTTCTTAAGTTTGTTTCTTCTATCTTTAGATAAAAATTTCCTTTTATAGACTAGTCAAATTCATAAGAGACACAACAAGTCAACACAAAGACCCATCTAGCCCCTTTGACTGCACAAAACTAGTCAGTTAGGCTTGTCTATAGGAAAAAAAAAGCAGAATACCTTTTGTTTGCTTTCAACCATAAGCAGCATAATAACTTTGAAAGACTGTCATGCCATGTTTATTAGACCTTTATGTCAGATTGTACAGTCTCTCATATGGCAAGACAAAATTTACTTCTTCAGATTATAGGAAGAAAGTGCCTTCAAGGAAGCCTAAGTGCGATATTTGACAGCATTCCCAAATATTTATTCTTCATTTGACCTTGATTGGCAGACTCTCCTTTATCCCTATGCATAATCATAATTAGAACTAGAGTACTTTATAGTATTTATTTCCGCTGAAGAAATACATAAAGAAGAAGATTATAATATTATTGCCACTGAAGTGGGTTCTAGCAAAACCTTCTGAAATAATATGTCTTATCATGGTCAAATATGTTTTATAAACACAAACTCCTACAAGGTGCAGCAGTGAAAGACCACTAAAATGAGTTGGGGACTAGGACATCTACTAAAGGACAAGAGACTAAAGAAATTTGTCTGCTCTGTCAAAAAGGAAGCTGGTAAGAGGTGAGACACCACCTACAAACACACTGGAAATAACCATTAGGGAAGGTGTTGAATTTGTATCCAAATGATCATGAAGAATTTCACTGAAATTAGGGTTCTTAATAATTAAAGTAATAATGCTCAAAAGCAATCTTAGGAGTATCAGAGCAATACAACTCTCTGCTTTTAAGATGCAGTGTTATGTTTATTAAAATAATTATATAAAACTCCATGCCTGGAACCAATCTGTTTGCTGTCAGTCTTAACACTGCCTCTGCCCAAAATATAAGAGCTGAAGCTCTAAACTAGCTAAAGCTGGGTCAGAAGAATGGGAAGAAGGAAGTGATGAAGGAAGGGAGAGCTAAGAAAGCTTTTTACATTAAAACTAAGTATGTTAGAAAGAGTACCAGAGTCACAAGTGTTACATGTTAAAAAGTAAAAGAAGGGTCAGAAGCTTTTTCAGTCAGTACCTGCTGTTGTAGTTCTTGTTGATACGATGATGCTGCCTCTTTGGAAGGCTTTGCTTCTTCAGAAAATACTCCTATGCTTCTTTTTCTGTCTCCTGTATTCCACTGTCCAACGTTACCTCTGAATTAAAAAAAAACACATATAAAAGGAAAACAATAGGGCCCAGGGGTGGGGGTCTTTAAAACAAGTAAAATAAAAAACCACCCATTCCTAACATACTTAAGAGCTACTGTTTTTCCCACCCTGCCAGTTTACAATCTCACACTTTCATAAATCCATATAAAAATAAGAGTTCACTGAATTATTGTTTAGATAGAAATTCATAATTAGAAGCTTGAGGAGTTGCCTTTAACACACCTTATTCCAAAGGCATATCAATTGTCAGGATGTCCCAACATGAAAAGCATATCAAAACAGATAAATACAAAGATAGGAATACAGGTAATACTTACACAGATTGCTCTACTGGGACTTGGCCTAAAGGAGTGTCCAGATAAGGTGTGGGTTGCATTCCCATTATACCTGTACCATCTACACAGTAAAAAAAACAAACAAACAACAAACATTATTTTAAATTCTGAATGCTCAGATAAAAACATCTGCCAATAACTCTGACTTCAGAATTACAAACAGGACTCTCAACTTCTACAGCAAATTTAGCTAGTCCTATGTCCTGGTTTGAGCCAGGATGAAGCCACTTTTCCTTTTACTGATATTTTTCCTTCCATATGCCCTCTAAAGCAAGAAATACAATGCCAAGGTACAAATCTATTTCTTAAATTCAACCAAATGCCTTTATAATTTACAAATGTCTTCAATAATGCATTCTGCAATGATCTAACAGAAAGAAATAACTCACTTAATGTAACATTTGTCCTCATGCTTTCCAAACATGCCCTCTATTGTGAGGAGAGCCCCACTGCCTCCTGCATCTGTGCTCTTCCTGAGACAGGACCTGCAGCACTGTGCCACAGCAGGGCTTGAAATTATGTTGCATACTACTGCTTGTGCTCAAACAGTAAGAGAAGCACCTATAAACAATTTCACACTGTCAAATCTTAAGCACTAGCAATATTCCAGTTTGTGACAACAAGCTTTAAGACAACCTTATTCTCATACATGAATTTGAAGTATTAGTTTATTTAATACTCCAAACTGTAAGCCATTTTACCCTAGAGGTTATAATGATAAAAAGGTAACAAAACTCCAACAAAAAACAAAACACCAAAATAAAACACACATCAAAAATCAACACCAAACAACTTCCCCTCCCAAAAAAACCCTCAAAACTTCTGTAAATTAAAACTGTGGTTTGAAGCTAAGATTACAAGGAAAAGGCAAAAACGGTGCCTGGAAATTAAAAAAAAGGAACAAACCAACAAATCAATCTTTCTCAAACCATAATCTGTTACAATTTAAGACAGGGAGAAATTTACACTGGAGGGAAAAAAAAATAAAATAAAATTTAAAAACTTTTGCTTTTAAATCTCTAGCATTCCTGAAATTCCCTAATAGATACATATCTCATTCAAAATCACTCAGTAAAAGTTACTATTTTAACATTTTTTTCTTCTTTATTTTAACTTCTCTTTGAAGACACCACAAGAACTTTTTTTAGAGTATTTCTGTTTTTCCCTCTAAAAAAAAAAAAAAAGCAAAGAAAAAAGAAAAAGAAAAAAAGTCACACAGTCCAGTCCCTCCCCAGACACATCACAGTTGTTTCACTCATGAAATCATCATGAAGCAAAGGGTAGATTAAAAAAAGGAGTTCTTAAAATACAGTTTGATTACTTCATACAGTTCCTTTGAAAATTTTCAAAATCATACTTGAAATTGTAATATTTAACACGTAATCAATTATAATATGATTTAAGCAATTTTAGGAAATAACATTTTGATTATCAAAACAGTGAAGAAAATTATCTGGGAGGAGTAATGGCTAAGTAGCTGAGACCAGAGCTTGTCTGAGCAATGAACAAGGCTTTTGGAAGCCATAACCCCCTTTGCAGTTGGAGAAAAGAACTTCATTCAAATCCAGTATTGGAAAAAAGCCCATTTTTCATTCAATACACATGTAAGAAATGGGTTTAAATTGCTATTACTGGCTTCTACATCATTCATCATTTAGTCAACTAGACTAAAAGCAGTCATCTGAATCACTCTAACAAGCAATATACCTAAAATCATCAACTTACAGTATGCAAGATTGGGATCCAAAGGATTCCTAGCCCCATAAAAGTAATATGCATCATTATAAGGGGTTCTGTGGTCGTGCATCAAAACTGGTGGTGGAGGCGGTGGCACTGGTGCAAGCCTTAAAGTAAAAAGGAAGACAATTTGTTGTTTTGCTGTAAAACTGAAGAGAGGTCAACAAAAGAAGAAAGAAGGACAAGAAGAGAGAACTCACTATGGGAAAATCCTAGATTTAGCTCCCATCAAGTCCACTCATTAGTGCTATGTAGGAACAAGATACAGTAAACCTCCGTAGGGAATTAACCTTCCTTTAGGGAGTAGTACATTATCTCACACTATTCCTGAGTTCTGAAGAACATAAAACAAGCATGTCTTCTTCAAGTGGTTCAGTTAATGATACTTACTGATTACACTAGTGACGGTAAACAAAACATGCCAAGGATAAGTCCCCAGTCAAAGGGCAAGTGGCACACCAGAGTTTCAGCCACACACCTCAAGCTCCTTCTCTCTTGCTAAACAGTTTAGTCTCAAGCAGAGTCCAGTAGAAGCTGCCCTTGCCTCAACTACATTCCTGAGCTTAGCCCTGGAAGATGGCTTAATTTGGATTAACAGGGGCCAAACTCATGCCATGCCACTTCTCACAGGAAGGAAACTGTTGGGTATGTACCCAAGCATCCTCACAACATGCTCCAATATTAGCAGGATGGACATCATTTCTACAGCACAACCCTCATTCTACACAAACATGCACTGAGGGAGAGCTGTCCTCACAAATAATTCATCCTCCACAGATTTTTCAAAATAAACTTTAAATAAATAAACATTAAAGGTTTACTTCAGTGTAATTTAGTTTTCTGTTAATTGTCAAAATATTAGTTCTATCTTTATTAGTTCCTTGGAGAAGGATCAATACCACCACTGAGCTCCACCTTAGCCATAACAACACGCTTAACAACACTCTTCATACGCAAAATGAACATGCTGGTGAAGTACCTGGGAGCTGCTATTTCCCCAAGAGTGCTGGCTATCCCCCTGTGAAAGTCTTCATTGAATGGAGAGGCTGAAGGAACGGGCACCGGAGTTTGGAAAGCCACTCTGGGCCTTTCAGGAGATACTTGCTCTCTAGAATTTCTCATTGTCAAGCCAAACTGCTTCCATCTACTCGGCTGAAGGAAAAAAAACAACAAACCAGAAACAAAGAGATAGGAAAAGAAACAAAACAGTTATCTTGTAATAACAAGGAAATACTCTGAATCTCCATTTAGGTTGTGTTAAACACTTTACTGGGTCACAACTAGGGGTTCAAACTTCATTGCATTTTTTTCTCCCAAAGTATTACTGGAAATCTAACACTGCAAGGAAGCTGGCATGTTTACCACAGACTTAAAAAAAAAAACACCTCTATAGCAGGGTTCAGGAAATATATGCTGCTTTCTAGTTATTGTCTAGAAAAAAAGTATTTCCACAGTTGCCTGCAGCACAGGTCATCTACAGCTACGTTTCCTACATGGACAGTATTCTCATATTATGCATAAGAAAGATCTCTGAAATCCCTCCCACCCTGTCCCAATATTAAAATAGCTCATAATCAATAAAAACTACAAACTAATACATTCTGAGACTTTTTTCCAATAAACATTTCCTTGCAATACCATTGTTTTGTTTTGTAATTTCCTTCTATTTTATTAAATTTTTCAACCACAATTATAAAATGTTGAGGGTTTTGTTTCTAGAATATAAGTATCAAATGTTTACTGATAAGAGGCAGCCTCAGAAGAAAGTCAAAGGCAACATGCAAATAATGTGAAGGCATGCAAGTCAGTGATTTTCAAAACTACTCTATCACACAAAGAAAACCCTTACACCAGCTCAAACATTTTTATGTTTGTTTAAATGAGTCAATATAATTTAAAAAAAAACAACAGAAAAAATCCATCCATTGTGTAAGTACAACAGATTTTGTTTCTGATGCTACTGGTCCTAACATCATAATACTTCACTTAACATGCATTCAGACAAAGCAACACCAGCAACCAGCTAAATATCAAATATCAAACAGCAAACCATATACCCTAGAATACAGAATGTTTTCAGCAAAATATGAAATGTTTACCTCCTCATCACTTAGCTGCAAGACAGTATATACAAGGCAGTTAGTACTCACCAATCATGAACCACAGCATTAAGATTAGAATTATCAAAATCTACCAGATACAAGTATTTGTTTATAACATTTAGCTTCAAATTTCTGGATGTGAGGACAAAATTAGAGAAGAGATGAGCTACAGCAATTGAAAATTAAAAAGCAGTCTATATAGGTTTTTTTTTTTGATTTTTCAAATCCAGTATATTGATTGGTAGAATTCTTAAAAAAGCATTTCTCACTAAAAAGTTTAATGTGAACTGCTCCTAAAGTGCCTCAGATTTTAGCTCTGTAGATAATTTTAGATGTGACTATGGTATTCAGTTTATCCTAAGAACTGTTTGCTTTTAAATAAGCAGTATATACAAGAGGCTACATTTATAGATTCTTAATCAGGCATTGCTATTTAACCAACCTGTAATTAATCAAGAAATCCACCTATTTAGAATCCCTCCCCAAGAGGCACTTTAAACCTAACAGTGACTGCTGCTTAATGAATGCAGCAATTCTACTTAATTGAAGGCTTTCAGCTAAATTAATGGTTTTAAAACATTATACTTGCCCTGGATTTGCTCTGGATATAATTTTGTTCCTACAACAGGCACTTTTCAGCCTCTGACTGAGATGTGCTGGGTATAGAGAGTGCTGCAGCACAGCATGCTTCTGCCTAGCCAGCTTTGATTAGACAACTGTTTACACTGACCTTACTGCCTGCTGTGCCAGAAGAGCTGGAGCCCCCTGCTCAGCTTTCCCCTTTTATCCTGCCTGGCTTCCAGCTATACACTTTATCCCTCTCCCTTTCACCACCTGAATCCCCATCAGCCAACTGACCTCTCTAAGCCAACTAAAGCAGTGAAAATACTCCCATTTTTGCCAGCTAATCAAGCTGAATCAGGTCTCAAAAGGGATCAAACAAGCACCACAGATAATTTAAGCAGAGAGGGCAGGAACATGCAGCCAGATTGACTTGTCAGTGCTCTTCTTCCCCACTTAGGAGTAAGAATTTTGATTCAGCTTCATTGCTTATCTACGTGCATTCTCAATTTCCTGCCTCATGTGCTGATTAATAGCATCTTACATCTATCTATTCCTGCATCTTCATTCTCCAGAAAGAGCTTATTTCACCTCTGCTGAATTCTACAGAAACGGCACAAGTTTCTTTCTGTGTTGTAGCCTTTCCCCAAAACCAGCACTGTCAATTATTTAAACTAGTAACCAGTTAAATTCATAACCAGTTTATTCTTGCTTGAGAAAGTCAGCAATCCTATATCTCCAACAGCTGATCTCCAGTGCACCCAAGATGCAATGGCTTCAGGCACTTAGCAAGCACACACACAAACCATACTAGTTCTGTGACAATCAGTCTGCTGATGATGTTTCTACTGCTCGTTCAAATATGCTAATCAAAACTCTCAGTACAATAATCACCTTACTAAGGAAGTGGAGACAGTAGTAACTCTTGCAATTAAGTCTTGCAAGCAACACAGTATTAAACATATTGGGGTTTTTTTTACAAAATCCAATGAAATGCTTGTAATCCTGAACAGTACACTTGAGAGTTAAAAAAAAATTTAAAAAGTTGAAATTAAAAATTGTTACAATGAGATCAACTGAGCTGCAAAACATCTGGATTTCTTTTTAATAGAGGAAGAGCTAAAACTTTCTTTAGCATACTCTACACTCCCAAATAAAGCTTATTAATGTGTGCAAGTAAAAGCTACCAATGGACACTAAGTATTATTTTCCATGATACCCACTGCTTGTACAAAATTTCCAATTAATCACAAAAAAAACCAACAAACAATTCTGCGAAAATCTTTTCCTCTTAAGTTGAAAGCCTTATCACCCTTGGCTTTAATTTTATTCTACACTAATGATCTATTAGAAAAACACATACCTATAATTCTGTAAAAGCCTTGCAGAGTTTTGTGATCAGCAAACACAGTGTACATGTAATAAAAAAAAAAGTCTATCTAGATGAAAGAAAATCAATGTTCCTTACGTCCTTCTCTGGATCTCGAGCTCCAGAAGCAGCAACTAAGAGCTCAAGTTCTTTCTCACTGTTTTTGTTTTTTTTTTTAAAGAAAGAAAAAGAAGAAAAGAAAGGATTAAATCAGAAAGCAGTAACAACTATACTCATTCTTCAAAGTACACACTTCACAACTCTGAAAATACAGGATAACACAAGACATTATTCCACTTCATTTTTTATGGTGCCAAAGAAGAAGGATACTGTACAATATTTGTAAACACACAAAACTCTCAAGAAGTAACTGGCTAACATCTATTCTGCCTAATAAAACAACAACTACCATGAAAGGACAAACCGCCATATTGGTTTTTACTACAACCTTTCAGGACATTTCTCAAAAATTGATCTCTATTCACATTAGAGCAAGAAGTTTATAACAAACGTTTTTAAAAAGCACAGCAGTAAGTACATATTGTAATTTCAGGGCTCAGGTTTGAACATGTACTATTTTTTATCACAGTGAAACAGTAAACAGCAACATAGTTTTCGTTCCTTATGCCTTCACCAGTATCACTGTGTGTTTTTATGTAGCCATAGTATCACTCAGCAGGCAGCTACTAATAGGTAAGCAAGACATTTATATCTTATTATTCTGCTTAAGCCAGATGGTCAAGTGCTTTGAAAGTTAAAGGTTACTTTCCCAAATTGGAGGACTAAACAAGATTTTTGACTTTGCAAAGTAATGAGACACTCCTCTACTAGCAAAAAAAAGATAACTTCAGTTAGAGATACTTCATGCTTAAGAAACTAAAAATAGTATTTTAAAATTTTTAATTTTTTTTAGTTTGTTCTGCTGAAAGCTGGTGAATTTGTATATTAAAAATTAAAGCTCTCATGCCAACAAAACTAATTGAATGCAGTATTACCTAGCTGGCTTGGAATTCCTTAGTTGCAAAAATTATTTTTTAACACATTGAATTAATGACATTTATTTATCTTTAACCTACTTTTTAATATTCTAATTTTATTTTCATTATTAGAATACTAAAAATATTGTATTTAAAATCTCTTGAAAATATTCATTAGCTTTAAAAATATAGTAACTTCCCATTACCGTCTCTTATTTTGCTGTTGCTCAGCCATCTGTTCTATTAGTTCTTGCCTGTATTTCTCTTTTTTCCTTTGGAGAAGTTCTTGGTCCTGACCACCTAATGGAAATGAGCACACATTTGCAAAAATGCTCCACAAAATACACAAAAGGTACTGGATAAAAACATTGCATTTCAGTCAATTCAGAACATGAAACACAGCACAGTGATCTGGGAATGTACATAAAAGCACTGAAACATTACCTACTAAAAATATCCTGTTTTAATACTTGTTTGGAGTATGATGATCAAACCTACTGAAATTTTCATTACTGTTTTCATAGTTTGCCTGGTTTTGAATAGCCAGGAAACCAGTGACCAAAATGTGCAAGATAACATTATGGCTTGTGTTTTTTAGGGAGTCTGAAATCACTTCTCATTTCCAAAAATTTCAATTTTTAACTTACTTAATCTTTATACAACATAGTTAACAATATTCTTCTCCAAACCAGGACTGCTAGGAATACCAATTCACGACTTCATGTACTTAAGTTACCTCAAATGAGATGACTGAGCAGATCAGAGACTGCCCATTACAACACCACTGTTTTAGTGCTGCCACTAAACAGCTCCAAAGAACTGACCTGCCACATACTGAAGAGCAGACAAGTTCAAATGTAAAAATAAATAGAAATTGCTCAGACACTGTTAGTCAGTTTTCCCATAATTCAAACCTAACTTGCCTTCAAAGACTCCCAGCTGAAGAAAAACAACAGTTCCTATAATTCTCTGAATTTAACGAGGAATGCCTTGTTTTTAATAGTATTTATCTCTACTAAACTCAATAACATTCCCTGCTAAATTTTATAGCTACGTTTAAGCAGTAAGTGATTATCAGAATAATTTGCTCTTGCACATGGTTGTGAACTGTACTATTTCTTTTATTTCTGAAATTATATTACAATACCAACATGTGTCTTTAACAATACAGACAATATTTCTGCTACACTTCACAAAAAAAACCAACTTAAATACATCTGGGCCTTAAACCATTAATGAAATCTAAGAAGAAACTTAACAGCTTTTATAAATTAATTAGAAAGCCCTGTTATATTAAAGGAGAAAAGGAACATGTTTTTCTTTCTCCTAGTTTTTAATTATTAGCAAAGAAAAATAAAATATGCAAAGGAAGGCTAACTCAGTGTCATTTGTTAGTTTTTTATACATACCAAAAGCAAGGCCTGTTGCATACGGCAGTGTAGCTGCAGACTTGGCCTGTTCATTAGCTGAAGAACTAATTTGTACCTGATTTCTGGCAAAGATAAAGAAGTAAAAGAGAAAGATCAAACTCCAGAATGTACTGGCAGTCTGTGTGAAACATGATAGGTGCACTTACATCACTATGTGATACATTTATGCCAAACAGCTTGCCCAAAATAAAAAAAAAACCCAAAACATTACATGCAAAGGAAGAAGCTGCCTGGCAAAAAGGCACTTCTCACAGTTCCTGTTGGCCTGCGGTGTCAGAAGCCATCAGAAACACTGACTCAGTTGAGTATTTCAACAGTGTTGACAGACTGAGTGGTGCCAGTCAAGAGTTTATGGAAGGGCGTTACAAGTGTTCTGCTTCTGCCTCATCCACTTAGATCCCTTCAGGACTTGCAAAACCAAGACACGATGGGGGAAAAAATGGAATTTTAGAGGTACTATCAAAAAAGGATTCCATGTTACTCTAATAACGAAGTCTTCAGTGGGAGAATAGGTAAGCCATTGTTTCAAAAAGAAAGCATGCAAACTTCAATAGCTGTTCTCAAAGGAAAAATTTTTCTTGCTCTCCTATACCCCAGCTGCAGGAAAAACTATCAAGACAACACATTAGGGTTTTTAAATAAACATTTTCCTTTCACCATGATTCTGCAGTGCAATTATCAGAAAAATACAGATACCCCACCTAGAATTTCCAGTTCTTGAGATCTGCTGCACACATGCTCTCTCCCTTAATTCATCTTCATAATCTGCAGGTTGATCTCTTACTACTCCATCCAGATAGGGCCTTAAAGAAACAGAAAATATTTAGCTATTCTTGCCTAAAAACATCCAATCTGAAATGGAAAGTCCAGCAGTTTCATGCACATGGGTCCTCAGCCTAATTGCACACTGGACAGCAGAACTAGTTCTGAAAATATCACACTATATTTCTAGAAATAATGAACTTTGCTAGCATTATCAAGGCAGCTCTCTTGTCTGGTGTTTGAATTCCCAAGCCTGCTTTCATGCAACCTTTATCTATTGAGCCTGGATAAGAGATCTAAGAGCAGAACAGCATTCAGCATTCACGCTGCTTTCATTGAAATACATTTTGCTGCTGTTAATCCCCAGGAGCCAGGAAAGTCTACAACAGTACACAGCTATCGGGCAAGTCTGGAGAAACAGTTCATGCAGATATGAAAAGCTTTTTTAATGACAACCGACTCACTGTGCACTGATACCATTTTAAAAAGAGTGGTGACTTTTGATCACCATACAAGACAGGTGACAAGGTGAAAACAAAAATTCAGAAACTAAAATTTGTACCATCTACATATGAAGTAATATAATTTAAACTTCAAATAATTCCTAAAGTGTCAAAAATTACATGGACAAAAGGGCTATTTTCCTGAAAATATACAGGATGGTTAATTTACGGGCTTTTCTTGCCTTGCAAATTAACTGCTCTTGAAAGATTACCTCAACTTATCTCGTTAAAGTAAGGAAAGAATAGGTATTCAATGAAAAATAAAGTACCCAATAAATGTGAACACAGTTATATATTTTCCAGAACTGGACAGAGCCATAGACTTCCTATCAAGCACACAAAATAAAACTGTCAACAAACTTAGGTAAACATATGAAAAAAAACATCTTATTCTTTTATGTAAAAAGATCCACAGCTCTGCCCATGTCTGTAATTTAAATAGAGGCTAATAATCAAAAGCAAATGGATGCAAGCAGATTACTGAACATTGATTTGGCATCTTAAACAACCCACAAGAACATGAAAGAATGACATCCATCCTCTTGGCGTAACATGATCTTCTTTCATGATCATCTTTTTACTAATGAACAATCTGCTCTTTACAATGCTAGTCACGTAAGACTGAAACATTCAGGAAACAGAGTCTAGGCCACAGCATGATGCAAGGATACAGGGAGGAAGCAAAGAAACAAGCCTTGGGATTCAAGAGGAAAACTTTTTTGTAGAAAGCAGCAAGCTTAGAATGGCAGGCCCAGACATGTTGGCTCAACTCGATGAATATGTTGTTTCCTTTTTATAGGACAGACCTGGCTCCTGGGGAGCCATTAAAGCATTCCACTGATAAGGACTGAAAAATTTTGCACTTCCTCTCACTTACCTGTCACCAATTCTATTTGCTGACATTTGCCACAGTATTTGTGCCCCCATCAAAACAGAAACCTTTCTGAAAAGTACTGTCAGAAACACCTGCCTCTCCAGTCTACTGAAGCCTATTTTCTTGAAGAGAGACTAAACATATTTCATGAAAGGTTAAGTGGATCTCCTTGCAAAGGACCAAAAATGTACTACATTACAAAGGACATTTAATTTTTTAAAAAATGAGAATTTCCAAGAAAAATTCAGTGAAGTGGAAAATACACACCAAAAAACCCAAATATTCATTTTAAGCACAAAGTTCAGGCAATTCAGGTGATGGTCCAGCAACTTCATTTAAGAAATTGAACTAAGTTTGCCAATAACAAAGGTAAGGCTATCTTCTGCACCTTCTTTTAAAATAAATCTGGAACTAAAACTGTTTTCAGAGGCCTCTCCAAATAAGCAATGAATTGCCTCATCATATACATTAGTCACAATCATTTATATAAGCACCATCAGTGTTTCCTGGAGTTTCCTGGAGAACTCGTATACTTCCATTTAACACAACACTGTCTACTGTTGGTTCAAACACCATCCTTTCTGGTATTTTACTATTTTAACTCCATATATATTCTTTGATAAACAAAGTAATCCCTCAAATTTTAGCAAATGGTTATTTTTATTTAAATATTAGACTTTGTTTCCAATTGCATCAGACAGAGGCAAAGAGATACTTACTAAAAAAAGGACATTCATTCTTCTGGGTGTCATTTAATACAGAGGATTAACATTGCAGTTAGTCTTAAAAATAGGGACATTTTTGGTTATCCTTCTGAGACACCAAGTCAAGCTTCTAATATTTTTCTTTCTGAAAAGTTGGAGGGCAAGCAAATCCTATCCTAAAACTTCCTTTGCTCAATTGTACTAATATTACATTACATGATGGAACAATTTTTATATTTTGCATTCTCTTCTCTGAATCTCATTCAGTTGAAAATGGGCAATCTTGTACCTGCTATCTATTTAACCACCATTCCCATTTGCTAACCTTCTTCAGAAACATTGTATGAATAAATACATGCTTCTAGAAGCACATCTGAACATACAATCTGAAACTCTGAAATAACCCATTTATTTAGTCTGCATCTCCCAAATGCTTATAGACATTTCATTTTCTCCATAGTTGCTTAGTACCTTCATGAACTGTTTTTTAAAAAGACTGAGAAAGAGTAACAAAAGCTATTTTTGTAGAGAAGTTATTTTAACTCTATTGGCATTTGAAACTGGAAAAGGAGCATGACTTCATTCAATTTAGAAAACACTTTTGCAGCAGAAGAGAATTTTAGGGTTTGTTTTTCCCAGTTACTAATTTGCAGCAAGAACAAAACATGATTGTAATACATAACGCTGTTCAGAGTGGTAAAATTCATCTTTTATTTCTCAAAGTGTTAATTCTAAAAAAAAAATTTAAAATAAACTGGGTTTTTTTGTCTAAGAAGGGAGAGATAGTGGTGCTTCCTTCACTGAAGCAACTGCAGTAAAATAATTCTGGCAACAGTCTTAACACAAAGGAAAAAAAAAAAAAGAGAAAAGGCAGAAACAACACTCATGTTCTCAAAATCTGTAACATGAACAAATGAACTCTCTTCAAGCACCTCTTCAAAATTTATTTACATAAACTTTACTGCTTTATTTCATTTGAATGTAGCTGTAATGAAAACATCTGTTTCAAGTTTAGTACTGTTTCACACTACTGTCCATCTGTTTTTGAAAGCAACAGGTTCTTCCAATGGAATAACCAAAGGTGGCCAGACTGCCAAACCCTGAGCAACCAGGAAGGTTATGCTTTGTTGTGTTTTTTTCCTTTAAATGAGCAAGCTGGAAGGGAAAGATTAACAATGTATGTCAAAGTAACCAAACTGATTGATCAGTTAACACAGTAAAAGCTTTTTAATAATGAACAGTAGGTAAGACTCCTGAATTCTTCCTGAATGATTTATCTAATATACCCTCTTTTCTTTGGTTTGGGTTTTCATAAATGTTTCTTAAGATTATGCAGTTAATACTGAGATTAGGACCTGCTAAAACAGTCAGGATTTGATTAAAATATGCATTTGTTTAAAGTCTGCCATTTAGCCAGACATGCAGTAAAAAATGATTTTTAAAAATATATATTTTACATTCCTAACACATAGTGGAACGTATCAAAAATTGAAGCTCAAACCAATCTTGAAATTTAAATTGAAAATCCACCTGCTGTAACTATTACAGACTAAGAAAACACATGTAAGCTTGGGTTCCCAGTGCACGGTTTTGCTCTCAAATAACAACATGTTTTCTGGCAAAGTACTCTTTATAAAAATGAGGAGTGAGTAGCTTCTTCTGGGGTAGTTTCTCTAGTATCCCTGGTTTGCCATAATATATAAAATGTTCCCTAATATATGATGTATAGTCTAAGGAACTGGTTCACTTTAAAAATATTTTTTTTCTAAAAAGAAAAGTTCCGTTTTAAAGTATTTACAAAAATCCTGCTTTCACATGCGAATCTTGGGTGATTTTCAGTAAGAGCAAACCATTGCCATCAACAGGCACTACAGAAATAAAGGAGAAAATGGAATTAAGAATACCTTTCAGCATAAAAATTCCGAGGAGCCTTCCTGTCATAAGCACTTTGACATCTCAGTCTAGGGTCCGTATCTTCACTTATCTCAGGATCGTAGTCCATTCTGTAGTATCTTCTACCAAAATCACTATCTTCTTCAAGTCTGTGGTGCTTCCTAATAGGGATTACAGCTTGACTCGCAAAACCACAATGTCTTCGACTGGGAACATCCAAATCTTCATTGAGTCTTTTATTTAATAGTCGACTTCCTAATTCAACTTCATCATCTAGCCTATGATACCTGTTTTCCTCCAGCCACCTCTTATTTAGCCACTCTTCATAACCTTCTGTGGAAGTAAAGGCATCTTTCTTGGGAGGTTCTGCACCTGTATTATAGGGCTGTACTTCTGTACGTAGTTCTGGCTGGAATCTGGTAACAGCAATTGTTTTTTTATTCCTGTCCACCTCATTCTGTTTAATGGAAAGAAAAACAAAACAACAACAAAAAAACCCAACTTAAAATATCTGAATGTAAACAAACCACACTGAGCAAAAACTTGATTTTGCATTGTTTTAAACATTCCTTAAATGGGCACTGGAGAAAAAGTAGGAGGTGAGCAATAAAGATATTTCAAGGAGGGCTTAAAAGTTGGTTTGTTTGGTTTTCTTCTTGCACAGACCTTTTATGAACTCCAATGTGACCTTCAGATTCAGAGGTGCAAATAATCAAAAAACACTTTGAACTTTATACCTCAGCAAGAGATTAAGTATCTTTATCCTACCCAGATTCAGGCAAGTCTGTAATACTTCTTACCTATGAGCACAACCTTTTAACCTGACCATTTCTTAATCTACTACTTCGCTCCCCAGGAGAAGTCACTATGAGAAAGGATAGTTTAGGGGTTAAAAAACTATGGTATGACACACTGGACCCATGTTCAATACACAAGTCTAGCAAACTCAAACTAACCAACCTCATCTTACTGTGAAGTTAACCCTGCCTCTGAGCAGGGGATTGTACAACATGACTTCCAGGAGGTTCCTTGCAACTGAAGTTTATCCTTTGATCATCTAAACTATTGGATCAAATTTTTGAGGTCACAGATGTTAATCCCAAGACCTATTTATCTGACTCTCTCTTCAAGTCAAATACCCCTCAGAGATGGAACAACCTCAAAAATACTTACCAGGCTTTTTCCTGTTTTTTTATTTTATAACAGCAAACTTGTTTCTACACAAGAATAGTAAAAATATAACGTAAAGATCCAATCAGATAATAAATGAAGAAGAAAGAAAAAAATCTTGATTCCCTAAATATATTTGGTTAAATAAGTCAGCCGTGGAAACAAACGCCCAAACATGTAGAAAAATCTTTAGAGATTTATATACTCAGTTACACGAACACAAGTTGAATTTTTGCCACATATTTACTAGGGATTAATGTTGTGTAGCACTCCAACCCCTGAAAAAACCCATTAGAATGAGATATTACATTCCAACATCTAAAGGATGCCTGAATACTGACTTATAACTGTCTTCACAGACTAAAATAGTTTTCAAATATTGACACTCCAATACACTTGGAGGAAAAGATCCTTCTCAGAAGAAAACTCTTCCTGGAGATAAGACAAGAAACATTCTTCCAAAATAACTTACAAATACATGGGTATTTGCACTTGCTGACTGCTGTAAGAAAGACAACAAACTTTCAGCTGAGTACAAACACAAGTACCTTAATAAAATGATCTAGCTCTCACACTACTGTACACTTGGGAATTTCTATATTAAAAAATGTGGAAGGCCTTCTTAAAGTAAACCTTCATTAAATGAGAGGCAACAATACTTGAAAAAGAAAAAATATCCATTCTATACAAGATTTTACAAATAACAAGCACTAGGTTTTTTATGGAAACTGTTGATAACACAGGGATATTTTAGTTACTGGTGAACAGCACTAACACAGCATAAAGGCCTTTTCTACTTCTCACACCACCCCACCAGCAAGTAGGCTGGAGGTGCAAAACAAACTGGGAGAGAACAAAAGCCAGAACAGCTGACTGCAACTGACCAAAAGCACATCCATCCCATATAACATCATGCTCAGGAATAAAAGGTGGAGGAAGAAGGAAAGGGGACACTAGGTGTTTGCCCTCCCAAGGAATAGTTCAGTGTAATGGAGCCCTGCTGTCCTGGAGATGGACGAAAACCTGCCTGCCAGTGGGAAGCAGTGAATGAATTCCTGATTCTGGTTTGCTCACATGTGCAGCTTTTGCTTTACCTGTTAAACTGCCTGTATCTCAGCCCGTTTTCTCACTTTTCCCTTTCTGATTCTCTCCCCCATCCTATAGGGGGTGGAGAGGAGCACAGAGTGAGCTCGTGGCTGTGTGGTGCTGAGCTGCCTGCTGCCATACAAATCTAAGGTCTCCGCTCAGAGTTCAGTGTTACATATGTCTAGCTCCCTATCAGTAGTAAAGACGCTTTTTTGGATTCACAAATGCACAGCACCATATGCTGGACAGCTGCCTGCACCCATGTTGTTCACTCATGGAACTAGACATGGACTGAGGGAAAAGCAGACAGAAATAAAAACTAAGAACATTGTGTGGAATTCAACATTTTGTCCAAAGAGACAGCTTTGTTGGCCACTCCTTTTATCACCAATAGCAATCCAGGGACTTGCTTCAGACACACAAAAGAATGAATGCATCCTTCTACCAGATAGAGGTAACTGAAGGAGGAATCAAGAACTGTACTGTATGACTTGTGTCACAGAACTGCTAGATATATTAATAAAAATTGTAGCCTAACTGAATGACATTCTTTGCTTATTTTTGCTTACTTTGTATGTCTTAGTCAATGATAAAAAATTGACAAAATCATTTATATTCTTTGTATCAGCTTCAATACAACTGTATTACCTCTGTGTTTTTCTTCCCTAATTTTCTTAGCCTTTCATTCCATTCTTCTTTATCCCTGAGATATTGATTGTACTCCTTGTTTCTTTCAAGCCGTAGTTTCTCCTAAAACGAGCATTGAAAAGGGCATCATAATTTTACAATTCTGAGTAGCTTTTAACTTCACAGAATTGCAGTACTAAATGAATACATGCAAGCTGTGTGTTTGCCCTCCCTCTTCTTCGTGATGTACAAATAAGGCTTGAATTGCTTTGAGATTTCTGTTTATTCTTGAATATGATAGATCTTGATTTGAAATCTGTAAGTAGAAGTCAGCTTCCTGGGTGTGAAGTCTAGTCCCCAATAACACTACTGTATATCAAGTTCCACCTTCAGCCCATTTAGGTTTCCTGCTGCCAAATCTATTCCAAACTCATTTAAGGTCTCACTCCCTTGACAATTACAAATTACCTTCTAATTTCCAATCTGAATGTATTTACAGATTATATTTTAAACAAACAACTTGGTTTTTGTGTTAAGGTTAGTTGTGATTTGCCCCACTCTTAATTAAAACAGGACAACAAATACATGTAGAGACAAGATGTGTCAATTATAGCTTAGCATCTAACTTGAACTGTCAAATTCAAATGAGCAGTTAAGCTGACCACTAAGAGAGTCAACAGCACAAAAAATGCAAGGAAAACTAAGAAAAACATGATCTATCCACCTTGTCCTAGCTATTTTTGCAAGGTGACACCATTTATAACCAGCTTGCTCAGGTGTAAAGATATGCAGAAATTTTGCTTAATAATATTATATAAAACACACAAAAAAAAGTCTCCAGGTAAAGCAAACTCTGATTTGCATTTTTTCCAGATAATAGTATCTTATGTTTAGAGCTAATACCAACTCATTCCAACTATCATCTAAATGCAAATAAGATATTTATATTACAAATTACAAATCATGCTCTTCCCCACTGCAGTATTTTTCAATTAAAAAACCAAAAGGTATTAAAAAATCTGAACATTATATATAAATTTACTTTCCCATTTCAAACAGAAATTTAAAATCCACCTGAAATGCAAACAAAAATAATTTATACCTCGATCACCATGGAAATACCTGCTTAGTAATAGTTTTGCAAATGAGACCAATGCTCCCCACAAAATTTGTGTCTTTAGGTTTTCTGACAGTGGCAATAGAAAATCCGCAGACAGGTACGAAAGCTGCCTGAAGGGTATTCTCCAAAGCTGAGAAACTAGAATTGTCTTTAGCAGGTGGCAAAACACTCAGGAGAAAATTCAATATGCTGTGTGACGGCACATTTTACCTAACAGAGGAAACCAAAATGCCAATGTTAACCTCTAATCACTATCTGCCCAGAGGCCAACCGATTAGCATGGCACAGTGTGACACCTTCTGGCAGCTTTTATGTTCTGCAACAGCAATAAATAAATGGATAAAAAGGATACAATGTGCTTGTACAGAAAATTTCTACTGATGTCAACTGTTACAATATAAAAACACACATGATTAGATGTTCCCAGTTCAGACATGTCTTTAGTTTCCACAGAATTCAAGATATTTTATCTTTAACTGTTTCAGCACACATACTCACAACAGTTAACACCAAGTTCATGAAAACTTCAAGTTAACAAACTCAACCCAAATGCCCTTCCTGAGTATTTAATTCTCCCTCCCTTTTTTTTTTTTAACACTGACAGAGGTGTTTTTTTTCATTCCAGTGCTTTTCACTCGAGTGGACAAACATTATTGCCAGCACAGAGGACAGAAAGCATACCTAAGCACATCAAGGGCAAGACCAACACATTCCACAGCAGAAGTCTTGCACCAGATTAACAGCCAGACAGCACAGCCTCAAACACAGAGCAACCACGCAACTCCGGGACAACATACCCACCAAAAGTGCAACAAGTTCAGTCCTCCTCAAGCAACAATGTTTCTTTTTCAGCTTTGCATCTCCACTGGTGTTTCGTGGGTCCTAACAACCTGACAGTGGTGTTCCGCAAAAAGCTAAATTACAATGTTTCAGCTGTTTTGAGCCCCCAGTTCAAGAAGGACATAGAGTTAAGACTAGAGGAGGGCCACCAAGATGATCAGAGGGCTGGAGCACCTCTCTTACGAAGACAGGCTAAGAGAGTTGGGGTTGTTCAGCCTGGAGAAGAGAAGGCTCCGAGGAGACCTTATAGCGGCCTTCCAGTGTCTGAAGGGCCTACAGGAAAGCTGGGGAGGGACTTTTGACAAGGGCTTGTAGTGAGAGGACAAGGGGTAATGACTTAAAACTGGAAGAGGGTAGATTTGGATTAGACGTTAGTAGGAAATTCTTTCCTGTAAAACTGGTGAGACACTGGCACAGGTTGCCCAGGGAAGCTGTAGATGTCCCCTCCCTGGAAGTGTTCAAGGCCAGGTTGGATGGGGCTTTGTGCAATCTCATCTAGTGGGAAGTGTCCTTGGCCATGTAGGGGGGTTGGAATTAGATGATCTTTAAGGTCCCTTTCAACCCAAACTATTCTATGATTCAACCTCCCGGATCAATTTACAAGCAAACTCAGGAAAGGAACTGGGAATATAAGGCCAAAAGTGTGAGGACAGGAGGTGACCCCTTTAAGACCGATTTAGGCTTTCAGAGAATCTTAGTGTGTATGCATCAGAGGAATGGATCAGAAGTTAAGAAAATACACATATATGCATGTCACATCTTCATATTCTAACCTCCATGAAACTCTAATAGCAAAGAGACTGTTACAGCTGGTATCTTTCTCCAACACGTCAAAGTAAGACCATAAACTGGTAAGAAACCTTCGGGAGATCAAAAGAGCTAAATGAAGAGAACGTGTACTTTCACTAAACACATAAGTATCTGTACTCTCAAAGAAAGACTGGAAATTGGGAAGATTCCTATGCTAACAGCAGGCAATATGTGAAATACCAGATAAGCTTTTATTTAGATTCTGGGATTTATCTCTTCAAAAAGAAAAAAAAAACCACACACCTGAGAATAAGCAGGTAGGTTAAACATACAAAAAAACCATACACAAAACCATCAAAACAAGCTGTGTACAGCAGAAAGCACACTTCCTTTAGTTCTGATAGGAACTGATAAGAATACCACTGTAGAAAACAACTACAAGCACATCTTTTTAAAATTATCCCCAGGCTGCAGTAAGAAGAGTAATAAATTTTAAAAGTATATAAACAAGAAAACCAAATATAAGAAAAGCCATGTTCTTTACTAGATCAATACTTATTGTTGAACAAAACCCAAGCACAAACACTAGATATTCTGAACACACCAAATGCCTTAGAGGTGTGAGTTAGAAGTAGCAAACTTTGAATTAGTATCAGAATAGAATCGCACATCTAATTATCTACAAAGTAAGAGTACCGGTAATTTTGGACTAAAATCTAAACCCAAACAACTAAATATAACAACATTACTTTTCAGAAAATTATTCTCACAACCACCTCAAAAAATGTTCATTTGTAAACAATGTAAAAAAAACCACAACAAACCCAACCAAACAAAAAAACTTAAGTGAATTAATTTTTCCCCAACTGTTTAAACATTCAGGTTAATTTTCAATTTATACATCACTTACTTAATTTGCTCCAGATATTTACCTTGGCAGACCTTCGCTCATCAATAGGAAGAGATAATCCCTGAGTATATGGATTTACTTCACCAGTAGTCAGATAATTTTTCTATATAAACAAAAAAAGTTAGATTATTAAACAGATTTGAAAATAATAAATCTTACTTGTTGAATAGTTGCTAGGAATTACATTTTCTGAAATATATCTGATCAATTTGATGAAATAAAGACTGAAGACAACCTTCACATTTTGAAAATGCAGGATGTTCTTGGAACACACAAATGAAGTCAAGGAATATGCAAAGAAAAGGACTTGCCAAGCTTTAAGCTTGAGTTTGAAAGTTTCACTTCTTCCCCGTTACATTATTTCTAGGATGACATAAATTAGTCCCTGTATATTAAAAAACATTTTATTAAAAAAAACCAACTCCCCATTATTACTTAGCTCCCCCACAAGCAAGTACCATAAGCACAAGCATCTGTAAAAGCATTAGAGGAATTTTCCAAGATAATAACTTACTTACAACAAAAATCTGCTTTTTCTCACTGCAGAAAATCTGTGTCTACCTCTTACTTTAACAGGTGGAAACCATGCTAATACTAGCACAGTCACAACTCTGCATCTCAACACCATTTCCTACAACAGCAGTCCTCAAACTTTTCTGGAGATCTTGTAATTCCTTACAAAATTTGAATCACTTTCAGAACAAAACCTTGTGTTTTTCCACATAGCTCCCCAGGCCACATCTTGGGAACTGGGCTGTGCAGCAAGCCAAAGTATCAGCCTTTCAGATCAAACACCAACACTAGAACAGGTCCTTAGCTTCCAGGTCCAGTGGCTTCTTCATGCATCACTCATTTATTAAAAGAATCCCCAGGCCATTCTCAGCCAATCACCTATGTTTTATAAATCTGATTATCCTTAATAAAAAGATCATCTATTTGTGCTGCATGGACTGATGAATATACTATTTTGCTAGCATTCTTTCCTTCCATTATCTATGTTGTAATGTAGCTTAAAAGCTTAGAGGCATGTCAATAGGAAGAGCTCTACCTATTTCAGTAGAAAACCACATGATTACGAATTATATTTCACAATTACACAGCAAAATATTTAAGGGATTTAATAGTCATGTAGATATTCAAGCACTGTGACAACCACATTAATCAGGAAAACTAATTTACGTTTATTTTAAAAAAGTAAATAAATTGTAATCATCATTATTAAATAATTTTTCATCCTTTGAACACATCTGTAGATTACCTCTGACCTTAAAAGGGTATTTGTCAATACTCAGAAGCTGATACATAAACTGTATTTTCTACATAAGCAAGACTAAAGAAGTTATTAACCAAAATGTTATTGCTATGCCATTAGAGAGCATTATGGTAGCTCTTCTTCAGGCCTTACAAGCTTAATGTAGCTAATATATACTACACAAAAAAAAACAAACCACAACTTCTAAAACTTAATTTGTAAAACTAAAGTTCAATTGAAAATAAAAAAACAGTTATTGTAAAAATTATATGGGCACTTCGGTGAGAACTATAAAACATTTCATTTAACACAATAATCTAACTTCGAAAATAATCTGAAGTTTAGGATGAAACAAGAAGCAAAAATTTTATAAATACCATTTTGGTCAGAGGTTAGGAAGCTAGTTAATTCTGCTATTGTTATTCAGGAATTCTAGGGCATGCTAATATACTTAACTGGGATCATATGCATGTTATTCAAAGCCCCAGAAAAAAACAGGAGGATCTGTCTCTACAACGTTACTTCCCAGTCCTTTACTGAAGTTGCTTAATTTGAGCAACCTGGATGAACAGCATTAACTTTGAAAATTATATATACATTACAGTATAATAATAGAAATAATTTAAAATTACTGTAATTGAACAAAGCTTGCAAAAATGTGTCTGGTATTATTTTTTTCCTCACAATCCCTGTATTCTTGCATTCTGGCCACTAGATGGAGAATATCTGGCTCTACTGCTTTCCTAAGCACCACTGATGAGAATTCCCAGTGACAGGGAAGAGAACAGCCCTGACCCTGGTTCTGATCGCATACTATTTATTATTTTATTCCAACTTTATAAAGAACATATAACAAGTAAAAAAAATCTGAACTCTCAGCATCTATGTAAGTGATAAGCCTTGAAGCAAACGTCTACTAAAATAAAACTTTTTGCAGAGTCAGCATTGGACAGCAATAGCAAATGCAAAGGAAAAAAGAAATCAACAAGTGTTTTAAAATCTCACTAGTGGAAAATAACAAATATAAGCAATCATTTGCACAAAGCCAACAATTCAGTTAAGCACAAATCACTACAACGTGCACAAACACAAAAAGCACCAAAAAGTAACGATTTTTTTTAAATACAAAGAGCACAGAGCTTTCAAACAAAGCAAGAAGCAACTAATTTAAAGGAAAAAAAAATATATATTGCAGGCACCCTACCTTTCTTTTTGCCTGTGAAATGCCCTAAAAGTCAGGGAAAAGAAACTATTCAAAAAGAGTCTTTCATTCAAAAATATTTGACTTAACAAAAAGACTTATTTTCTTAAAAGCCAATCCATTGTATCATTTTAAGAACTGAAGACACTGATAATTAGCATTTTCAGAAAACAGAAATTATTTGCTTCCCGATTTTTTTCTCTTTGACTCAGAATAGACACAGAATATTCCCAAGATTGAGATTTCATACATACCATTTCAATTTTAAATTTATTGTGACATTTAATAAATCATGCTAAGCAGAACATTGACCTTTTTTTATTTCTAAAATAGAAAAGAAGCTGTTAAATGGAGTTATGCTAATTACAGGAATGTTCCACCTAAATTACATGCCACAGAATACTAAGTACTTAATGAAGTAATAGATTATATTTTAAATTCTTAAGAAGAAACTACGAAATAAGTAGAAACAAATAAATAGAAGTGTTCAGAATAAAATGTAGTAGGTAATATGTAGTCTCATAGCAATGAGATCTGTAGAAGCCTAAAATATATAGCCCTTCCAAGCTGTGACATTTTGAAATTCTTTTTACTCACATCTTCAAAAACAGCCGTCAAATAAATGCTTTCTTACTGAGATTTTTCAGAAGTTTTATTAATTTTCATTCAATTAAAATGAGTCATTTTAGAAGACTCACTAAACTCAGGCAACTAGATAAGAAGCTTTACCTGAGAAAGATATCGTCTATAATCTTGTCGAAGTTCCTCTTTAAGTTTATGTTTCTTTCGTTCATATTCTTCTCCAAGAGGTAAACTCAAGCCATAGTCACCTGAAAGTTTAACGCCATTAAATATTATTATTCTACTATTTTGTATTAATGCAAAGCACATCCTGCAAAGGCTACAGCTGGGTTTTTATTAGACATCAGCAATTGAAATGAACTATGCAACCAGTCATTACAAAACAGTCGAAATAAAAACCATCTTCTCTGTATAAGTAGTTGAGTGGAAAGCATAGATAAATGGATTGGTTATCTGTTATTAGTTTCCCTCTAGTCTTTGCAATTTTTCTCCCCATTGAAAAAAAAATAATCCAAAATAAACTGAATTTATTTGGATAGTTTGACAAATGGTATAAAATAACCTAAATGTTGTAGCTATCTTTTGTCAATGTATGTTTCAAAGAAAATCTCCTTTGACAAGTTGGTTTCTGCATTTTTCTGATATTTTAAGCTGTCCTTGTCATACAAGAGAAAACATACTTCACAACTAGAAGGCAGAGATATTTGTTTAGCCCAAAGCATGTGAAAAATACGTTGGCTTCCACTAAATTGAAGGAATCTGACAATCATATATTTTTTCTTTCCACCTCAGTGTTTTTAATTGCAGCAGACCCAAAACACTCATTTTGTACTTTTTCAGGATTACTGTCAGGTCTCGTAACAGCTGCACTCTTAAAATATACTGCTATTGCAAGTTGGTTGTTTTTCCCAAATCACTTTTTAAAGTACTTTATAAGAAATACTCTCAGTCCCAGAAGCCCACGCTTTTACCACTTTCCACAGAGACCTAGTGAAACATAAGGAAAGGCTTCTTTACTGTTCAACCTAAACATAAGCAAAAACTTTTCTGTGAGGGTAACAGAGCACTGAACAGGCTGCCGAGGGAGATTGTGGAATCTCCATCCCTGGAGACATTCAAAACCTGTCTGGATGTGTTCCTGTGTGGTTTACAGCAGGTGATCCTGCTGTAGCAGGTTGGCTAGACGATTTTCAGAGGTCCCTTTCAACCCCTATTGCTCTGCAATTTTGTACGACTTTCACAAAACCACTCAAGAGACACAGATCCCAACTGTTTCTTTTTTTTTATTTCCTATTGTTTCTCTGAAAGCATTTCTACTTCTTATGGTCTATGTAAAACTTGTACTATGAATTAAGAAGTAAGAGGAGCACATTCAAAATTTACTCTTACATCAGTCCCAACTTATTGCAGGGTACTTTGTTTGACTCCAACATTTTAAATGTTTAGGGCATTAACTGGTGTCTGTACAGTAAAAATTACATTATATAACTGCTGAAAACTGCTAACTCGAGATTCAATCTGCTACTGAAATAGATAAAAGGTTAAAATTATACTTAGTAAAAATACACTTAGCTGGCTTATCTTGAGATAGCTTCACCTAACTCAGAACACATCCTCACAAAAAAAAACAACAGGGCCTGCTGTTCCGAAGAACCAAAGGGCCCAATACCTGACTAAATATGTCATACACTATTTTGAAACAGCTTCCAGAGTTGAACCACCAACCAAAATCTGCATGGGAGTTTCTTCTCCAGTCTGCAACTTACTTTTCTACTAATTTTGCACATTTGGTGAGTTCCACTAAAAAATAAGCTACCACTTCAACCACCAAAAAAGGGAAAAGTGTAAAGAGGAACAGAACGCACAGGAGAAAATAATCTGTTTCAGCTACTCGCTCTTGCCTTTTATTTTGACATGAAATTATTGTTGGATTAACTATAGCAAACCAAGGGGAAAAAAAAAAAATCAAAAGCAAATAACACATCAGAGCAAAGATTCACTCAGTAACTTCACAGAAGCCAGTAAAACTTAGTACAGAAAAAAAATCAGTGGAGTGATTCAAATACATGAAGCATTCAAACAGAAGAGGATTTAAAGTTAATTTTATGACAGAAGACATGTTTTTGGCCACCAGAAAAGCACTGAGATAACAATTATGGGTAGTGAGTTAGGAGGTATTTTAAAACTACCTACTTCAAAAACTTAGCTCAGGAGAGCCAAGCAGGACAAAAATAGTCCAGTTAACATACCTTAATCCTAATTTTGTGAACAATTTGTCAGAATTCTTCCATGGGAATAAGAGATATACAACTTTTTATTATTATTATTATTAGAAAACGCTAAGGTTTTAAATGCATTTTTCCATTAAAGTTTGTATGTACTTAATATGTTGAGAAATAACTGTAACTTCATCCAGTCTGATTCTCAGCTACCAAGAAGCAGGTCTCTGTCTAACTTAATCCAAAGGAAATTACACTGCTTTAAAGCAGAAACAGCCAGTAACATCAACAACCACCTACTGACAGCAAAACATGTCCAGGGCCCAAATTATTTTTGTAGCAATACCTATTTGTTGCTTTTCATTTAATACCACCCTAATAACCCTCATCTGTGATACTTCCTTAGATGTGCGTTATTTACTTAAGTGTCAACAGCAAACCAAATCTACAATAACTAATACATCATGAAACATGCTATTATAGCTCTCCAACAAGGGATAAAATTATTTAGTATTAGAAGAGCTTAACTGTTATGTAGTGGTCTATCACAGTCCTTGGGATACTACCCGTTGTGTTCCTTTTTCTGTATCATATGTTTCCACAGTTAAGCAAAGTATCAACACCAGAACTAACCTGTTGATCATAAAAAAACTGCCAAAAATGTGAGGTAGATACATATTCAAGTGCTGTCCTCTAAACAATTTTATCCATTAAGACTTCTGGCAGCAAGCAATATTCCATTATGATTTCAGGTAATTTTTTAGTGAAGTTTTCCTGCAAAGGTTTTAGAAGAGCTTGTCTTGCTGATGGCAGAGCATTCTACTTATAAAATATCCCTATAAAAAACATGTTAAGACATGCACTTTTCTGGTCATGAATTCTGTTAAAATTACATAACATTAAGGTTAGCATGAGTACTTATCTAGAAGATAGATTAGATTGGTATTATGTAAGAAATATCAAACGTCCACTGGCATATCTTCTTTAAAATAAAAGGGCAGCTTTTACTTCCACTGGAACCTGAAGAATCGCACCAGAATTACAGTAAACACAGAATGAAAATCCATGAGGTACAAAACCAAAACACCTGAACATGAAAAGAGTTACATACTGACAAGAAGTAGGACACAGAAAAGCTCTAAAGCTGTCAGGAGAAACCTGAGCTAGACAAGCATAACTAAGGAAAAACAGTAGCACCTGCAGAAAGGAGATGGCAGGACAAGTAAGGAAAGCAGGCACAATACATTCTGCTCCACCCAAACACAACAGGACAGGACAGATAATTTATCAAGGACTGGCAAGCAGCTTTTTGTTTTGGGGTTTTGTTTGGTTGGGTTTTTTAAATGGAGCTACCTTTACAAGAAGAAAAATAAAGTGCTTGGCATTCTTTGTTAAAAAAAACACAAAATAGACATAACTGCAAAAAAAATTTCACACAATCCCAAGACATTTGGAAGACTGAAGAACTGGTATGTACTTGAAAAATAATCACAGGATGGTTTGGGTTGGAAGGCACCTTGAAGATCAATAATGATCACCTCGTAAATAAAAACCCACAGCAGTAATTCTCTTCCAAAAAACTCAAAGGTCATTAAATGCTACTTAAATGGAGAAGACATGTAAAAAATGTACTATACCTGAAGGACAGTTCTGTTGACTATTTGGAGGTATATTTTCTTTTGCCATGGAGATTAACATTTTGCTCATCTCAGAAAGCTTCTCTGATTCCTTATCCTGCAAAGCAAAAAACACTTTGCTGCATCACAAGGTAAGAGAAATATCACACATAAGAATAACATTATTAACATAATTATTATCACTGGAGAATAGAGGGTTTGAAAGTGATTATGAATTAACACATCAAACAGGTTATATGTTTCACAAATACTACCAAGAAACTAGTTCTCCTCTGCAACACAGGAATTATTAGTTCAACATATTTCAACATATTCAATGTATTTCACAGAATTAAATATGTTGACAATATATGTTGTTATTTATTTAATAAACCATATATCACAATCCACAATTGCTTCAGTTTCCACATAACCCCTCTGCTTTTTTGTGCCGGTTGATTTGATGCACTAAACCCTGCTTGAAACTATGAAAGGATTACTGGGTATTACAGGACAAATTTAACACACCACTTCACTGTAACTACACTTTCACCACACCTGTTCACTGTAACTACACTTTCACCACACAGCTTAGGACTTTTACCAAACTATAGGCTGGAAACATTCTCCTCTCTAAACTTGCTCTGAGGAGAGAGGGCAAAAATAAAGCAAGCCAAACTCCTCACAGCTCCCTATGAATTAACTTTCTGGAGTGAATTAATAAAAATTTCTGGAGAAAATTATCATAACTAGGTAAAAATACTTATATTGCACAAAGAAGGGGAAAGACAAATTCTCACAACCTTCTGAAAAAAAAAAAAAGGGGGCGGGGAGTGTAAACTCATTATTATAATTATTGTTAAAAGCTCAAGCTGTTTGGGGCTTTGTAAGTCAAACAACAAACCAAACCCATATTTTTTCCTGAGGACTTTATTTAGTTAAGGTAACACTTACATAGTTGAATTATTTAGATATAGCTTTCTGCCAGGCACTGGCACTACTAAACAACTTAGTGGTGATATGCAAATTATAAAATCTTTCTGGCTTTACAGTTAGGTACTAAGATTTCTAATAGGAAAACTGCGATAAGAACAGATTCTGTTTAATTGATTGGCTTAAGTAATTTGTCTTTTATATCTTCTAGCTTCTATAACAGAAATTTTGAGGATATTTGTACCTTACACCCCTATCCTAACACTCATGTTCTGGAGTAGGCAGAGAACAGATCCCAGCTACTCAGCTTCCTTAGCGACAGGGGAAGGAGCAATGAAAACGATTTCCCACTTGTGAAATACAAATGTTACCAGATATCCCTGGTGGCAAAGAGGTTTTTAAAAACCTACATAAATACAGATAGAAGGTATTTAAGTTAGAAATTACTTTGAGTAGATAAATCTTATATTTTAACAACACATACAATTTTAAGAGCACAGTAAAAGCAAGCTTAAATCAAGCCCCTAGCAACAGCAGTGATTAAATTCAGGAAAACTAATACTCTTACCCTCATTTCCATGTAAGGTGGATCATTTTCAAGTTCTGCCTTATCTTGTGCCAACTTGGCCTTCTGTTCTTCAATAAATTTTTGTAAATCATCCGCCATAATTTCTAAGGTTAAAGAAAAGACAAAGCATTGCCTCTACATCAGAATCTCTAAAATTTAAAGTTCAATTATAGTTGATTAAGACAGAAGTTAAGTAATATTCAAGTTTCTCCTTGAGCACTACAAGCCTTAAGATGTTTGCTGGGTCACTGAGACACCTGACTGAAGAAATCCATCCATGGATTTCTTGTGTTTCAACAGAGGAAAATTCAAGGATTCCAGATTATAAACCTGAAGATAATTCCCTAATCTTTTTTCCTAACTTAGTTAAAGTGTTTTGGGGTTGGTGTTTTTAAGTGCAAGTCTACCAGTGACCATTCACTACACACTAGTACAAACTTATTCTTAGTGAATTATAAAATCAAAATGAGACAATGTAAAAAAAACCAAAACAAATAAAGGAATCGTTAGACAAAAAAAGGAGGAAAAGTGCAAAATACACATATACTCTAAAATAAGGACCATATCATACAATTAATTTTGGCTTAACTTAGTATTGCAAGAGGTCTTAAAAATCATCAACCTTAGAGAAAAAAAAAAACAAACAACAAAATCCAAAGGTAAAAAAACACCACAAAACCAAAAAACCCACAAAACACAAAATATATGCAGTCTTTCTGTAGTTGGAGCCAACCATACATCATTACCTCCTATGCCAATAAAGTAGCAAAGGCAATACAGCTACAATTCTGCAATAATTATAAGTTTGTAGCTATCAGGCAGCACCGACTTGCAATCAGACAAGCCACTCCCTGTAAGAAAACATGTAAATAGGGAGCAGCTAATTACCTGCCTTCCATTAGTTGTACATCTTGCCTGTTTAACTGAAAGTGCTTCACTGAAGAAATTGTAGCATCTTACTTGTGCAATTAATTGTATATTGTTGCTCCTAGATAGCCTCATAATAAAAATTAAAGTGAAATCAAATTCATGACAATGGAACCATACAGAAGTTAAGGACCACACTCATGCTTTGAATACTCTTTGTTAAGATAAGTCCTACCGGAACTAAAAATACTGCAAAGCTGCATAGTGACTAACCACAGAACAAAGACAGATAAAACCCAAAAGAATGACTGCGCCTACTCATCCTCATCTCCACTCTGTGTTTCCACCAACCCCACTGCAGAAGCTTTGCAAAACCAAGCCCTCAGATTTAAAAAAATCCATGTTATATTCCACTCCTAAAGGAAGCATGAAACTGAGAAGAAAATGATGACCCTCAAATCCCTCTAGTACTACCCACACAACATAAGCAAGAGCTTATGCAGGTTCCTAAGCAATCCCATCACATCCGTTATCTAAACTCAAGACTGTGCAGCAGTTTTATTGAGGCTAATTCAGTACCTTCTAAACCCTACAGATTGTAGGAAGTAAACAACAGGCCAATAATAAAAGTGTATCACAAAACATTTTCAGGAAGAGGATCAAAGAATTAAAAAAAAAACAACCCACAACAAGCAAACAAAAAAACCCACCTCACAAAGACCAGCAGAATTAGGTAAGGTAAACATAAAATAATATGTCCAGACAGATCGAAAGTGATGCTACTAAGGTAAGTAAGATGCAGAGGAATAATGTCAAAATTCCATCAGATAAATTCAAGTAACTGCATGCTAACTGAAGGAATGTATCTGCTTGGTGCATTCCTTAAAATTTATTCATTTGTACTTTTCCTCTTAAATTAATGTTATTTGAAATTTTGTAATATAAAATTACAATATTGTTACAAAGGAAGCAGATCTAGGACAACCTATTTACAACTCCTAGTGGTACTATAGGACAATCAATTCCAAAAATAAATTCCCCCATCTGATTTGTCCTAAATCTTTAATCTCATTAGTTTTGCACACTGATAAAGGATAAAAAGAAATCTAAAAGTGGGTAAGTTCCCAGGCACTGATGAATTTTATTTAGCCTATTAGGTTATATAAGAACAATGAAAAAACTGTTCTGACCGGTGAACATACTAAAGAATGTAATAGTTCCATCACCTATCCAGTGCTTCACAGCCAC